GGCCACTGCACTCCAGTCTGGGCGACAGAGTGAGACTCCAACTCAAAAAAAAAGAGCAAAACCAATAAAGAGCTCAATTTAAGCCAAGTGTGGTGGCTCATACCTGCAATCCCAGCACTTTGGGAGGTGGAGGCGAGAGGACTGCCTGAGTCCAGGGATTCGAGACCAGCCTGGGCAACATGGCGAGACCTCATCTCTACAATAAATCAAAAAGTTAGCCAGGTGTGGTGGTATGCGCCAGTAGTTCCAGCTACTTGAAAGGCTGAGGCAGAAGGATCATCTGAGCCCAGTAGGTTGAGACTACAGTGGCCATGAGAGTGCCACTGCACTCCAGCCTGGGTGACAGTGAGACTCTGACTTTAAAAAAAAAAAGAAATATTAAAAAAAAAATCTCAAAAAGTACTAAGAAGAAAATAAATGAATATTATTTTCACTTGAGCTATTTCTTCCTTTTCTTTTGTTTTTTTTTTTGAGTTGGAGTTTTACTCTGTTGCCCAGGCTGGAGTGCAGTGGCATGATCATGGCTCACTACAGCCTTGACCTCCTGGGCTCAGGAAATCCTTCTGCCTCAGCCTCCTGAGTAGCTGAGACTGCAAGCATGCACCACAATGCCTGACTAATTTTTAAATTTTTTTGTAGACACTAAGTCTTGTTATGTTGCCTAGGCTGGTCTGGAACTCCTGGGGTCAAGTAATCTTCTCACCTCAGCCTCCCAAAGTGCTAGGATTACAGGCGTGAACTATCGGGCCTGGTCTCTTGAGCTATTTCTAAGCATGCCTGAAAACCAAATGGCACATAGAAAAGACTTTGTGCATTTGACTACCTGCAGCTTAAACACCAAAATGAAAACACATACTACAAAGGTGAAATACTTGTAATACAATGAAAACATATTTGTAACACAAATGACAGTGAGTTATATCTTAAAATTTTTTTTTTTGAGTCGCAGTCTCACTCTGTGACCCAAGCTAAAGTGCAGTGGCAAGCTCACGGCCATCGCAGCTTCGACCTGCTGGGCTCAGGTGATCCTTCTGCCTCAGCCTTCCAAGTAGCTGGAACCACAAGTGCACACCACAACACTTGGCTAATTTTTTTTTTTTTTAAAGTTGGAGTCTCACTTTGTCACCCAGGCTGGAGTGCAGTGGCATGCTGTTAATGGCCACTGCAGCCTCAACCTGCTGAGCTTAGGCGATCCTTCCACCTCAGCCTTCCAAGTAGCTGGAACTACAGGCATGCACCATCATGCCCAGCTAATTTTTTGATTCATTGTAGAGACGATATTTCACCATGTTGCCCAGGCTAGTCTCGAACCTGCAGCCTAAGGCAATCCTCTCACCTCAGCCTCCTTAAGTGCTGGAATTACAGGTATGAGCCACCATGCCTGGCGAGTTATACCCTTAATTGTTACAAAGACATCATACAAATGTATACAGAAAAAAATCCAAATAGCCTCATATAAATACGAATCAAAATCACAGAAGACCCATAAATGCACAAAGATCTTCGACTTAGTTATTAACCAAACAAGGGCAAATAAAACAATGATATGTCACTGTTAGCCTCTCACATCAAAATGATTTAAAGGCACATGTGGAGCTGACGGCAGAGAGACACTTGCCCTCAGGCCCAACGCCCAGTGGGGCCAGTGTGTTCACATGATAGAGTCTCAGATGTGTGAAGCACTGTCCTAAGAATACTATCGCTTATCCTAAGGCGGAAATTTTTCAATTCTGAAATACTGTATGCTCCACAATCATGGTTATTGTTTAAAATAGTGAATACCCAGAAATAATTTAAATTATTAAGTTGGCTAAATAAACTATGATATTAGAATACTATGTAATAGGCTGGGTGCAGTGGCTAATGCCTGTAATCCCAGCATTTTGGGAGGCTGAGGTGGGAAGACTGCTTGAGGCCAGGAGTTCAACACCAGTGTGGCCAACATAACCAAACTCCATCTCTACAAAAAGTTTAAAAATTAGCCAGGTGTGGTGGTGCCTGTAGTCCAGCTAGTCAGGAGGCTGAGGCAAGAAGATGGCTTAAGCCCAGGAGTTCGAGGCTGCAGTAGGCTCTGATCACACCACTGCACCCCAGCCTGGGCAACAGAGCAAGACCCTGTCTTTAAAAAAAAAAATTACTGTATAATAATAAAAAAATCAAGGTATAGAACCTTTATTGACAGAAAGGGGTCCATGACACATTGTTGAGTAAAACCTAGTTTATACACACCACATGGCACACATGGTAGAATTTCATTTGTGAACATGACATGCACACACATGTTTAAGGTAGTGAGATTTCCAGTGGCTTTTTTACTTTATCCTTTGAGCTTCCATGTATCACTTACATTTTCTTTTGAGCCTCATCATTCTCACAAAAGAAAGAAGCCAACAAAAACTGAAAGAAGTTCCGACCCACACAGCACAGACTTGGGTTGCCTCACAGCAGCTGCTCCAGCACAGAACACCCCACACCCACACGTGAGATGCTCATGAGAACGTGTTCAGGAGATAGAAAACAGCTTAAAAGGATTTTAAACAAAACTCTCAAGTCTTTCTTTCATAATAATTTATCTCTTAGAAATCATCAATTCATATTTCAGTAGCATCTCTTAGTGACAAATATTGCACTCCACAAGGCACCGTGTGCCCCCCAGGCAAGGGGCGAGACTCACTGAGTGATCGAAACGCCAAGAAACAGACAAACCAAGACACTGAGGGTCCCTGAACAACCAGCCCCAGGACCTCCACGTGGACAGGTGGTAGTATCCCTCTAAGCTGCCCTTGTCCTTCCCCACAGGGAGAGAAGGGGCTGGATATATGTTATGCAGGTTCATACTCAATTTTTTTTTTTTTGAGTCAGAGTCTCCCTCTGTCGCCCAGGCTGCAGTGCAGCGGCACGCTCAAGGCCACCACAGCCTCGACCTGCTGGGCTCAGGGTATCCTTCAGCCTCAGTCTTCCAAGTAGCTGGAATTATAGGCACGCGCTATAACGCCTGGCTGATTTTTTTGTTTATTGTAGAGATGAGTTTTCGCCAAGTTGCCCAGGCTAGTCTCGAACCCGGCATCCCAAAGTGCTGGGGTTATAGGCGTGAGCCACCACGCCCAGCCTATACCCAGTTTTAAACAAACAATCCAAAAGTTTCAGTCCTACCCAAAAGCAGATAGGACTACTCTATCTGCCAGGTCGACAGAGGCCAAAGTCGTAAACATGGGGAGCAGACCAGGAATGTAGCCTCGGTGTGGCCTGCCAGGTTCTACAGCCTTGGAAACTCACACCCACCCTAGAGAAGGAGACAAGTGAAAGGGAGCTTACCAGACAGCAAAAACACTCCCCGCTGAAGAGCCACGAGACTCTCTGTCAACATGTTTTTCCACGTCAAACCCCTGGTTGCCAGGTAATTCTGTGGTGGAAACCAAAGGGCAGTAAGAAATACTAGTTTAGGGGAAGAGACACTACAACAATAAGAGAGGAAACATTTCATAAAATGTTTACCCCCAAAGGCAGGTAAAGCCTCAGCCCAGCCCGTACACACAGAGCCAGCTGGGTGGCCCACGGGTGACACATTCACACATTGCTTGCAAGAGGTTTCTTGCCCAGAACTCTTCGGAAATGAAGGTCAGCTTGTGAACCTTGTGTGTCAGAGTTACCATGTTTTCTCAAAAGTTCTGCTCAGACAATCACAGTGCAGGTGTGAGTGAGACACAAAACCTTGGCTGGAGTGTCCAGCCCCATGACAGGCCCATAGTCTGTATGACAAGAAAAGGTAAGGACCTGCCTGTACTCTCTGTCCTTCAGAAATACAGAGCTGTTTAGCTAGCTCCTTTAGTGCAGACCTACAAAACAATGCAACTTTGGGCATCAGAGAGTGCAGTGCTACTGAGTGAATCGTGTCCTCCTGTGTGCCCATGGCAAATGTGAAGGCCTCACTGTTCTCAGCAAGAGGGCAGATATGCAAGTTAAACATGTTTAAATTCTAGCTTCCTAAACACGGGATGGAAAACAGCCAAAAGGAAGGAGACAGAGAGAAGGCCCCGGTCCCATCACAGGGCCAACACTGTCAAGAAACCCTCTCTGTGAGCTTCAGACTTCGACTCCTATGAATTCATGGCATAACAAGCAAAAAAGAACTGTTTTGGGAATAGGGGGAAGATAGGCATAAATTAATGGAATGCAGAGAATTCACTGGCTGTCCCACTCAGAATATACAAAAAAGAAAGGCCTGAAAGTAACTGGAAAAGTCAGGGGGGCCTTGGTTTTAGGGAAGCCAAGGAAAGCTTGAAAGGGAGCTACCTTCAGGATGTCCGACTCATAGTTGTTGTTATTCAGCACTCCATCTAGACATTTGTCACCCAGGTTGAGTTCTGTGGGATGAAGGGAAGCAATGTTATCTGTTTCATAAAGACATTGTGTAAAGTATTGCTTCATTACAGGATAAACACATTTCTTCTTACAACAGATTCTAGAAAGAAAAGCTCAGTGATAAAATACAACTTAAAAAAGAGAACAAGTAGAAATCATTCCCATCCTGCTTCCTTCTGAAGAAGACAAGCTCTCCAAGTCTCCTCAGCACCTGGGTCGGTGTCATGAAGTCTGAGTCCTGCAAGGACTCAGTACTGGGAATCACTATTTCCCCTGACTGTCTTGTTAATGCTTGATTTTGAGCTAACACAAATTTGACACTTCCACAATGGCAAGCTTCTGCAGTTCATCAGGAAAAGGTAGTTAGTCACCTGGTGACTAACAGTGGCCTCCTCCCCGCACAAAGGCCACGGACACCACCATCATCTGCCCTTAAGTTCACCAAGAGAACAGCAAAGGCTAAAGCAACACGGGCTGAAGAGCCGATATTACCACAGAATGGGGCCAGGCAGCCAAAGCAGCCAGTCCGGGTGCAGCCCCAGTACAGGTGGCAGAAGGGCTGCAGGCAAACCGCACCTGTGGACAGAAGACACTCAGTCAGGTGGGCACCAGCACAGCAGCCTGTCTCTGATGCAACTCAAGTCAGCACCAGACTTAGAAACTCGAATCTCTTTGAAAACACCATTTACGAGGAGTTTCCATGGAATTTGGGAACAGGGACCACAGCCCAATTGTCAAAGGTGACTAAACTGTGATTAAAAGTTGTGACCTTGAGAAAAGGCCAGGCCTATATTGTTTCTTACATGGGACACATGCTCATCCCAGAAAAATAGTGAGATCTACAAAATCTCCTCTATAGATCTACCTCTGTCCCATAACCTAACCATAGTTTTGATGGATTTCCCTAGTTCTGAGCATGTAACATGCTTGCAATCAACTGTATAGTCACATCTCGTAGACATTTTTTTTTTGAGTCGGAGTCTCACTCTGTCACCCAGGTTAGAATGCAGTAGCATGCTCATGGCCACCACAGCTTTGACCTGCTGGGCTCAGGTGGTCCTTCTGCCTCAGCCTTCTAAGTAGCTGGAACTACAGGTACCTGCCATCATGCCCAGCTAAATTTTTTTATTTATTGTAGAGACAAGGTCTCACTAAGTTGCCAGGCTGGTCTCAAACGCCTGGGTTCAGACAATCCTCTCACTTCTGCCTCCCAATGTGCTAGCTGGGATTATAGGTGTGAGCCACCACGTCCAACTTCCTTTGTACCTGAGTATTTTTTCATGTTGTCACCTTGGCTTTGTAGACATTATTTTTTAATGTTTAATATTCTATAGACTGGAATTTCCTAAAATATAATATTAGATAAGCCCTAGTTAAAATTCTCATGGGCTTGAATATTTACATCTTATAAAGTGTGTAATCACTTCATAAATGTTTCTATGTATAAAAGAATTCTATATGAAACTAGAGTCAAAAATAAAGATTATTGGGGGGAAGTTGGCCTCTTGCCACAATAAAGCCCTTTCCTGCATTGCCCTTGCCAACCATCTGCATGTTGAGCAAGGGACAAGATGTTCTCTGCGACTTCTCACCTGCCCAGCACATGGCATTGAGCAGAGGGCAGTGACTGCCATGTAGATAGGGATGGATAACCACAGAAGCAGCAACTGCACAGAGGTCGCCGCATGTCCCACAGTTGGTCCAGCTGTGTGCCTTCTGACCCAATGTTCATGACCCAGCCCTGCCTAGTCCAGTCTCAGAAGAAGAATCTTCCTGAAAGCAACCTCTATAGTTTTCTCTGCATCTCTAGAACACTTTAAAATCATTCCAGAGAGAATGTGTGCTGTGATTGCATGTGTCCGGCTCACTGTGCCCTCAGTGTCCAGAACAGCACCTTGTAAACAGCAGGAACCAACTGAGGTTTAGGGTTCTCTTCATTTAATAGTGGCACCTTAATGTGTAAGAAATCCTAACAAATCAGGAAGCAGTAAAAAAGGAGTCAAAGAGCGTGAACAGACATTTCAGTCAGGAATAAATTCAAATAGCCATTAAATAAATGACAGGTACCACTTAACAGTAAGAGCTGTATATTAAAACAAAGCATCCTGGCTGGGCGCGGTGGTTCAAGCCTGTGATCCCAGCACTTTGGGAGGCCAAGGTGAGAGGATTGCCTGAACTCAGGGGTTCAAGACCAGCCTGGGCAACTCGGTGAGACCATATCTCTACAATACATCAAGAAACATAAGCCGGGCTCGGTGGTTCAGCCTGTAATCCCGCGCCTTTGGGAGGCTGAGGTGAGTGGATTGCCTGAGCCCGCGGGTTTGAGACCCACCCGGGCAACTTGGTGAGACCTCATCTCTACAATAAAATAAAAAAATTAGCCAGGCATGGTAGCGTACACCTGTAGTTCCAGCTACTTGGAAGATTGAGGCGGAAGGATCGCCGGAGCCCCAGCAGGTTGAGGCTGCGGTGGCCGGGAGTGGCCACTGCACTCCAGTTTGGGTGACAGAGTGAGACTCCAACTCAAAGAAAAAAAAAAAAAAGGAACTATAAGCCAGGCGTGGTAGCGCGCGCCTATAGTTCTAGCTACTTGGAAGTCTGAGGCGGAAGGATTGCCTGAGCCCAGCAGGCCGAGGCTGCGGTGGTCATGAGCATGCCACTGTACTCTAGCCTGGGCAACAGAGTGAGACTCTGACTCAAAAAATAAATAAATAAAAATAAAAAATAAAACAAAACATCCTATATCATCTATTAGATTTAAAAGTGACTTGTTATAAAGCAATTGGGGAACTGACAAGAGGATGGACATAGCTACAGAGCCCAGGAAGAGAACCACCCATATAACAGGGTGGCATTACCAATTGGTGGTAGATGGATTACTTGATATGGTCATGTGGGGACAACTGACTATGCAGACGGAAACAAGAAACTGCATCCTTATTTCACACCTGACACAGAAGTCAAGACCACTCCGAAACCTGTGCTCAGAGGACAGGAGAAGGTCTGCGCATGGCTCTGAGGGCAGGCCCGAGGGCTCACTCACACTGTTGAGGGGCAATGCGTGGGTCCCGCTCACGGTCTGCTCTCCGGTCAGGCATGGGCTGGAAGCAGCAGGAGCATGTTGCGTGGCTTCCTTGCAGAGGGCACACATAATTCTGGATGGCTGAGGCATGCACACGTGCAGGCCAGCACGTCGGGACACCAGGCAGAAAGACAGCAGATTAGAGACTTACATCTAGAGAGGCAGCCGGAAAGCACACATGAGAAGAGACAGACCTAAGAGAAAGCCAGAGAGAACCCAGACCTCTTTTCCTACGTGGACGAATGACATTCTACCAGCTAAACTAAGGGAGTTTAACCAGGTTAGGAATGACCAAAAACCATCTTTGGTTTAGTGGTTGCAGCAAGATTTCAAAAATCAGTTGGAGGTTTTCTACTATTTCCTATAAAGGAAGGACAGGCCCATAAAGCCTACATTATAAAACTAGTTATGTATTTAATTTCTGCTGAGAGGAGAGAACAGCTATATCCTTCAAATAAATAAATAACAGACATGGTAGGCAAGGCTGACTGATCCAGCACCAGAAACTCTGTGCCTATGTGGCCCATTTCCCTCAACGCCTACTACCCATACAAGAATGAACATGGGGACAGTCACCTTGCTGACCACCAAGACAGCAATTCCACTGCTCAGGTTCCCTGAGTGCCCAGTGAGGGACCCAGACCCTGCTGTGCACGACCCACGTTCTACATGCACAGCCCCACAGGGAGGTGCTCCCATGATGTAAGGGAAGGAGCTTCTCTAGTGACACAGACAGTGTTGCTAAAGGGCAGAGTCAAACTCAGGCCTGTGGACAAGTGTCCACACCATGGCCAGAGCTGCTTGGCCATCCTGCCCATGGGTTCTACAGGAAGCCACTAAGAACTGTGGCACAAGGATGTGGCTGAGTCAATCCAGGGCGGCAGCCTCATGACATGCTCAGGCAGACCAGTACCAAGAGGCCAGGACCCCGAGGGCTATCTTCCCATCTGTGTGAACCACAGAGGAGACACAGCTGTGAACTGCAGACCCTACAGGCCCCTGGCCAGCTTTCCGTTGCCCTTCTTGATGGCATCCAGGGACCTGCCTATTGGAAACAGGCACCTTACAGGACAATGTTTAGCATGCTTTGGAAATGTGGGACAGCTTCTGGTAACATCATCACCCCCTCCTGGGGAAAAGCCAACCTCTTATTTGAGGGACAGATATGTGATCATCACTTTGGGCCTGGCAAACCCACTGGGGGACATCAGCTGCCCAAAACAGTGGGCTGAGGGGAACAGGTCAAGTGTTAAAATCAGAATTGTTAATTCCTGGGAGGGGAGCCCTGAGAATGAACAGTTATTTATCTCATTTCTTGGCCCGAAATCAATTATGAAAAGCAAGAAGCTACGAGCATGGGGGACCACTGAGGACGGGGCAGGCAGGCAGCAAAGGCAGAGAGGAGGTGTGGAGAGCACCGTCCACATGTAGGTCAGAACCGGATACAACAACTGAGTCCTAGCAAGGAAGCAGCACAAGGGAAGGACAAACCCGAGGGGAGGTGCGGCGTCTCACCTGTCGTGAGGCTAGCAGATGTCGAGGGTGCATCACCAATGCCCTGTGAGGCCCCTGACTCACCATCTGGTGCTGGGCAGGGAAGGGGCTGCGCCACCTGCCTCCTGTACTCAGGACACTGGCGACACACGATGTACGGCTGGCTGCAAGGAAGCAGAGGCTGCGCTGGGGGTAGGCTGAGTGTAGGCCCAGGCAGGCGCCAGCCCACCCCACAGCCAGGGCTGGACAATACTGGTCTGCAGTCTTGGAGCCTTAGCTCCTCCTCTCCGCGGCTTCTTTACTGGCTTTGCTGCTGCGTGGGTGAGGTGAAGGCTCAGCCCCCTCCCACCTAGCACCCATGCAAGGTTGGAGTCCTGCTTCCCAGAGCCACCAGAGCAGCAATCTGAGGGTGAGAACTGGTCCATCTAACATGGCATTCTGTGCTCACCACCTGATCCCCACACGCCATCCCTGGGATCACATGGTTCCCACACAGACTCAGGAGACACTGCATCGAAGGCAGGGCTTTGGGTGGCTTGTGATTGGGCCTGTGCTCCTCAGGACAGTCTCCCTCCAGGAGCGGTCCTATGGCCCTTGGCTGCCCTAAATGCTTGTCTTTATTGTACTTTGCCTGTACTGCCAAAAACTATCAGACAAAAAAGCAGACTGTATAAAAGAAATCCATTAAAAAAAAAAATACATGAGGCGTTCATCTCAGTTAGAGAAAGGCCATTCTATACTCGACACCAATGCCAGGAGCCAACTAGAGTGACGGGAAAGACCTGATCAGCCAAAAAACAAAGCACGGTAAAAAGATGCTCAACTTCTGTAAGAAAAAGTATAAACAAAAATGAGGTTACCTTTTTCTCCTAATTAACTGACAAAGAGAGTCCTTTGTGCGGACCTTGTAGTGTGGCATTAGAGGACCTTTCTGACAGGTGACTGGATAACAGATACATCAAAAGCCTAGCAAGGTCTAATTTGCAGTCACACTCTGACTTGACCATTTCAAGTCTACATATTTATCTTCGTGGAATTACTGGACACGTGCACCAACAGACATAAGAATATGCACTGCAGCAGTGTTTCCAAATTCAAAATGCTGGGAATTCACAGAATCATATGAGCAGCAGAATCCCACCCTTATCTCTACTAAGTATATGACATTCTATTGTGTTAAAAAAAATGTAAAAATGCACACATGAATGACCAGATGGATATAATACAATGTTAACACTAAAGTGACTTTTGGTTTTCTTCTTTTTGCTTGATAGTCACTTGCTAAATTCAGCAAAAGGAAACAAGATAATTAAAGTTTTGGATTTTTTTGTTTTGTTTGTAGTCTTCTAAAGTATAATGGCCTTCACCCAAAATTTAGACTCTGGACTTCTTTTTTTTTTATTTTTGAGTTGGAGTCTCACTCTGTCGCCCAGACTGGAGTGCAGTGGCCGCTCCCGGCCACCGCAGCCTCGACCTGCTGGGCTCCGGCGATCCTCCCGCCTCAGCCTTCCAAGTAGCCGGAATTACAGGCACGCGCTATCACGCCTGGCTCATTTTTTGATTTATTGTAGAGATGAGGTCTCGCACACCTCAGCCTCCCAAAGGCACGGGATTATAGGCTGAGCCACCAAGCCCGGCTCGACTCTGGACTTCTAAGTTAGAAAACATGTCAGTAGACTGGGCACGGTGGCTCAAGTCTGTAATCCCAGCACTTTGGGAAGCTGAGGCGAGAGGACTGCCTGAGCCCAGGGATTCGAGACCAGCCTGGGCAACTTAGTGAGACTTCGTCTCTATAATAAATCAGAAAATTAGCCAGGTTTGGTAGTGCACGCCTACAGTTCCGGCTACTTGGAAGGCTGAGGCAGTAGTGTCACCTGAGACCAGCAGGTCAACGCAGGGGTGGCTGTGAGCATGCCACTGCATTCCAACCCGGGTAATGGAGTGAGACTCCAACTCAAAAAAAAAAAGAAACATGTCTATAGATAAAATAAGGTCTCCTAGGACTGTATTCTCTCAGTCAGGTGACTGTGCCTTTTCTGCAATAATATCCTGACAAATGGTAAATACTGCAATCTGCAGGACAGGACTTTATGGTCACTAGATAAGCCACAAGTAATTATGCTTATGTGGGAAGAAAATAACATGTCAAATGATGACCCTTTGTCATGGTCACTGATTCAAGACCCACAATGAGGAGTCTAAGCAAAGACGGGATGTTTGTGGAGGGTGCGAATCCCTATCAGTTTCCTCAGGCTGATACTCTGCTAGCTGCCATCCTGTGTTCATCCTATCCTTGCCACACCTCTCAAGGGAGGTGACAATACTACACAATATCAGAAAACAAGCTTAAGCCAGCAAGGAACCTGGTTGCTAAGAAGCAGCACCAGGACTCAGAACCCCTGCTGGTCACCCAGTAGCAAACTCTCAGGCACAGCACTGCTCGCACCTCCAGCTCTCTTGCTCCACTTGGAGCCAGGCAAAGGATTTACCTGATGTCCGAGGACTCGCTGTCCACGTCTGACAGTTCCAGCAGGTCCTCTGAACTCCCTTCTTCATCAGAAAAAGACCTCCTGACTTTGGGCTGCAGCATGTCTTGAGTAATTTTATTCCTGGCATCCATACTTTGCACATCTTCTTTACTGCGACTCTTGTCTAGAATTCAAAGGACAGCACCATTCACTGGCAGCAAGACACGACGGGCAGTTACAACCTACACTACGCATAGCTGGCAATCCCAGTGCATGAAAAGGAAAAATCTGGACAGGCTGCCACCACTTGCCTGGGTGCTGGATAAGGTACGCCTCCACGAGGTTATTGAGGATGTGGTTTTTACAGATCCGCTCCACTGGACAGCGGCAGGTAGGGCACAGGGACGAGCGCTCCATCCAGCCAGAGTAGCAAGCTGCGCAGAATGTATGCATGCAGGGCTGCAAGCTGAAAGCACAAAGAACAGTCTCCAGACAGAATCTTCCACAGATGTGCAGAAGCTGGGGCATCTAAAGATTTGTGATTATGACCTTCAGGCCACCATTCACAGCGGGCCTGCCCAGTGGAAGGACATGCTGGATTCCAGTCATGGGCTGACCAGGGGCCCACCTGTCACTACCTTAAAACTACTTTAACTCAGTCTTGGCTAATGAAAGGAAATCAGAGGCCAACGGCCTCTGTGTCTTTAGGAGGGACAGAAAAAATAGATTGTGACTTCAGAGATACCAAGTGTCTTTAGATCGAAAGTCAGATAGGTCCTCACTCTTAAATTCCCACAGAAAAGCACAGAGGTCCTTTCTCAGCTGCTCCTGCACATCCCATGTTAAATATTACATTTCATTAGCTAGCAAATGTTTGAAAAGCAGCATAGGCTGGGCACAGTGGCTCAGCCTGTAATCCCAGCACTTTGAGAGGTCGAGGCAAGAGGACTGCCTAAGCCCAGGGGTTTAAGATCAGCCTGGGCAACTTGGTGAGACCTTGTCGCTACAATAAAATCACAAAAGCTAGCTGGGCGTGGTGGTGTGCATCTGTAGTTCCAGCTCCTTGGAAGGCTGAGGCGGAAGGATCTCCTCAGCCTAGCAGGTTGAGACTGTGGTGGCCATGAGCATGCCACTGCACTCCAACCTGGGCAAGAGTGAGACTCTGACTCAAAAAAAAAAAAAAAAGCAGTAAGGTTTATCTGATAGGTCTGCCTGGGATCACTAGGTCACATACCCCACAGTGGCTGAAACCTTGTGGAGTCCTACAGTCTTGGACTCTGGGCTCCAGGTTTCCTCCTTGTTGGCCCCACAAGCAACACAAAAGTAGCAACCTCAGCAAATTCCATGCCAAACAGAACCCCAGGGCTTGTTTCATGGTCTCCTCTCTCCTCGCCGCTCACTGGATGAGGAACCCATGGTGCCCCGTCTACTCCGTGAGGCAGCTGGGCACATGGCACATACCTCACACAGTCATGCAGCAGGTCCTGGCAGATGATGCAGGTGAGTGTCTCCTCCATCTTGTCTGGTTTCATGGCTGCAGCTCTGACATCCTCCCGGACAGTCTGGGTGCTTCTACACTTTTCTGAGACTAACAGCTGTAGGTTCAGGTCAAGTTCCTCATCTGTGAGAGAAGAGGACATGATCTGATTGTCATAACCAAGGAGGAAATAAATGCAGTCTTCTTGGTTTATGAACATTTTAACTTGTAGACACAATCTTCAGGCCTCTACTGCCCACCAGCCCAGGACATACAATCCTTGCCATGTGTATGTATTTAGAAAGGGTTTTTTTTTGAGTCAAGCAGGCTGGAGTGCAGTGGCATGATCACAGCTCACTGTAGTCTCAACCCTCTGGGCTCAGGTGAGCTTCTGCCTCCGCCTTCCAAGTATCTGGGACTACAGGCACAAGCCACCATGCCTAATTTTTAAATTTTTTGTAGAGACGAGGTCTTGCTTTGTTGCCCAGGTTGGTCTCACACTCCTGGGCTCAAGCAATCCTTATGCCTTGGCCTCCCAAAGTGCTGGGATCACAGGCATGAGCCATCATGCCTACTAGAAAGGATATTTTTAAGAAGGCCTAAAATAAGTCTCATATTCCAGTGTAAGGTTTTGTTTTTTTTTTTTTCCTGACTCGAGGCCTCATTCTGTCACCCAGGTCGGAGTGCAGTGATACAATCATGGCTTACCACAGCCTCTACCTTCTGGACTTAGGAGCTCCTTCTGCCTTAGCCTCCCTAGCAGCTGGAACAGGCGTGCGTCACCACCCCTGGCTAACTTTTTGAGGGACACTCATGGTCACCCCAGAGTCAAACTGCTGGGCTCTGGCAATCCTTCCACCTCAACATTCCAAGTAGCTGGAACTATAGGCGCGTGCTACCATGCCTGGTTAATTTTTTTATTTATTGTAGAGATGAGGTCTTGCCAAGTTGCCCAGGCTGTTCTCAAACCCGTGGGCTCTAGCAATCACCTCACCTTGGCTTCCCTAAGTGCTGGGATTACAGGTATGAGTCACTGCACCTGGCTACATTCCCACATTTTTTTTTTTTTTGAATTGGAGTCTCACTCTGTCACCCAGACTGGAGTGCAGTGGCCACTCCCGGCCACGGTAGCCTCGACCTGCTGGGCTCCGGCGACCATTCCGCCTCAGCCTTCCGAGTAGCCGGAATTACAGGCACGCGCTACCACACCCAACTGATTTTTGATTTATTGTAGAGATGAGGTCTCGCCAATTTGGCCAGGTGGGTCTCGAACCCGCGGGCTCAGGCAATCCACTCACCTCAGCCTTCCAAAGCATGGGATTACAGGCTGAGCCACTGAGCCTGGCTCATTCTCACATTTTTAAATAATCTTTTTAACTTTGGCTTTTAAGGCATAGAATTTTATCTAAATTGCCTTCAGTATGAAGGTTAAAACTACTTTTAGACATTTTTGGGCTGGGCGCGACAGTTCAAGCCTGTAATCCCAGCAATTTGGGAGGCTGAGGTAAGAGGATTGCCTGAGCCCACAGACTCGAAAACAGCCTAGGCAACTTGGCGAAACCTCATCTCTACAAAAAAAAAAAAAAATTGGCTAACATCTGTAATCCCAGCAGGTTGACAATGGGGTGGCCATGAGTGTGCTACTGCACTCCAGCCTGGTCCACAAAGTAAGACTCCGACTTTAAAAAAAAAAAGAGAGAAAGAAATTTTTGTCCTAATAGGACAAAAGACTTTTCGGTCAATTCTGCAATTCAGAACGTACTGTTTCCAGACCAAGAGCATAGCCTAGAAATAAACACAGTTCTAGTTCTATCCAGATTATGCAAATAAGAAAGAAAAGGCCCAGATGCTCATTCAGAAAACAGAAGCATTATAGGTGTCAACCTGAAGCAAGGTTCACGTGCTTCCGCAGAAAACAAGGCCCCATGAAGGGCAGTGGCCAGCACAGCACAGAGCACTGGCCGTCAGTATCACAAGTGCTCCTGGGGGGTTCACGGAAAGGCAAAGGATGCACAGAATCAGACTCAAACCTCCTTTCATTTTCTTTGTAATGGGCTCCAAATCCTCCTGATCCTGGGGTTCCAACAAAGGAAAAGATGCTCCCTTTCTGTCTGTGACATCTGATGCAAAGCTGAAGATTTTATCACTTGCCACGAATGGACTGCATCCTGTTGGCGATATGCCTGCACTCCCAGACCCTGTGAAAGGGAACAAACAAGACACGTTCTGATTCATCTGCCTCAGAAGGAAAGAACACACCAGGTCAAGTGTCACTGGCTGAAACCATGTGCACTTTGTCAAGATGCATAGTTTAAGAATGATATATGGCTTACTAGAAATACCTGCTCACTCAACTCACTTGTCTTAGATGTGTTTGTACCCATTACTGTGCAGGCTAGAGCTGGGGGCAAGGAGCACATTCACAAGAGACAGAAATGCAGAGATGTCTGTGACTGGGATCAGTCTTTGAACAGAGTCTAACACAGGGCAAATCCACATGCTAGTGATCACATAATAGACACTATGCATTTATGTTGTAAACTGTGTTAAAATAGAGGTCTGTGTAAGGCAGACATACTTTAACAGAGGGATGCAGTAGCTTCAGGAATGGGGATGGTAGTGTGAACTATTTTCCAAAGAAGTATGATAAAGCGCAGGAGAGACAACAGTAACCTGGGAGTTCTCATCTAAACGAGCAAGAAGTTAGTCATAATAACTGGAATGACCTTGGCAGAAAGGCAAACTTCCTAATAACCTCTATCATAAAGATCTAGTTTATAATATTATAGCAAAATATATATGTAGTTTATAATATTCAAATGGTAAGGAAACAAAAAAAGAAACTGGCCTACAGTAGCTAAAATAAAACAGAATAGTTTTGGGAACAAATTAACTCATACACTAAAGGAAGAAAGAGATAGCCTCCTGGGCTAGCTTTCACTCACACCACAATCTCAAAAGCCCTGTGCTCAGCCAAGCTTATCTCCAGAATGAAGACTGTAATAATGGCACCTCTCCGATAAGTCCCATGGTGGTGAGAAATAACTTATTAAAAGCACTTAGGGCCAGGTGTGGTGGCTCACACTTGCAATACCAGCACTTTGGGAGGCTGAGGCAAAAGAATTGCCTGAGCCCAGAAGTTACCAGCCTGGGCAACATGGCAAGACCTCGTCTCTACAATAAATAAAAAAATTAGCCGAATGAGACGGTGCACACCTATAGTCCCAGTTACTTGGAAGGCTGAGGCAAAGGATTGCCTGAGACCAACAGGTGAGGTTGTGGTGGCTGGGATAGTGCCACTGTACTCCAGCCTGGGCAACAGAGTGAGACTCTGACTAAAAAAAAAATAAAAAGCACTTATGACACTACTTCATGTGTAGTAGGTGCTCAGTAGGTATTAATTATAATTAGTTTGTTAGTATGTATACACTTAAGCATACAGATAGAACAGTTTTTATTTTTAAAAATTACACTATATAAATGCATTTCCATTTTTAAGTAGAACATTATAAAATAATCAATGAAACCTTACACACTATACTGTGCGTATAGATGGAATGAAATGGAAAACAGTTTTACTGGCGAAGTAGGGTTTCTTTATGGGCCAGAACTGTTTTGTGCTTCTTTCTGAAGAAGGTCTTATAACATACATAAAATGCACAACTTGGGACTTCAGACATGGTACAGTTTATCTAGGCAGACAGTTGGAGATTGTCACTCAATCCAAAATGCCAGTAACTTCCCTCTTATCCGTGCTTGCTGTACTTGCAATACTCTGGGACCACAGTGGAATGGATGACTACTTCTACTTCTCCGGGGTTTTCTTCACATAGGTAGGGTGAGTCTCAGGTGTTGAGACCAGCTATGGAGAGCCAGCACACATCTCACTGTGCCTGTGTCTAAGTTTTAAGGAACCCTGAGTGAGTTTTAAGAAACCAAACAATACTGTGAAGGGTACATGAGCCTATAGAGCTGGTAACACTTCAACTTTCTAGTGGTTACTCAAACCTGGCATATGTTCATCTTGAAGTGTGACTGCACTGTCTTTCACTCATGATGTTGAAGGTAAATCAAAGGACCTTTGGGAAGCTGGAGTTAGAGTTTAGAAGTCTACAGGAGACAGGCTTGTAGGAACTCTTTGCCCCTGGTTTGATCTCAGCAGCTTGTCTTATCTCCAGAAGTAATGGGCAAAGACTGCACAGCACCAATGTCCAAAGTCTGTTTTGCCATTAAGGAGCATCTGAGAAGCCCTCCCATATGTCTCCTGAGAAGTAACAGCAACACAGTTACTCTCCAGACAGTTGTCAAATCATCAGTCTGAGAAAAGAGTAAAGTATGTTGCTTGGAACATACTTTGTTGCTGAGAAGTTAGACTTATCCAAGGGGACTCCGAAGAAGGAAGAGAGCATTTGCCACAAGGCCTTAAGGAGGACAACAAACAGGAGTGGTGGGCCTGCCTATGTGAAGAAGAGCAACAGTATGAAGAATAAAAAACCAAACTAACAAAAATGAAAATAGGTGCAGATGGTATAGGAGGAGGCTTCTGGTTTTAAGAAGGCAAATTATTAAGTTCCTGCACTTATAGCCTTTCCTTCCCCAACTTAAGATATATTAAACAAAGGAATATCTTGTAGCTGAGCAACCAGGCTGGCCAAAGAGATGGAAGGAGCAGTCTCCTGGGAGAGATTCCTCTTGCTGCTGCTGATCAATCAATAGATCAATTTGGAACAGAGGTCCTTTTCATGGAGGTTCCCCTGGATCCTGCCACGAATGTGGCTGTGGATATCTAGAGCTCTGGTAGCCATCATGAACCTCAAGACAAAAAGGCCCCATGGAATGCACAGGAAATCTCTGGTGACATCAGGAGCTGCTGAGCCTACCCTGGGCTGGGTGTTTTTAGACTTTTTATTACAGGAACCAGCTTTTCTGTCATATCCAAACATATTCTAACAGATTTAGAGGATCTTCTGTCCATAAGAAATACGCAGACTGCATGCAATGTAGAAACAAGACAGCCCAATATTCTTATAATAAATATGAATTATCCCAAAACTAGGTGAAGAAAGCTGTAAAACTTCATTGGAAAACATTGAAGAGCTTAATAAACAGGAAGAAACTATTTTCCTGTGTATTGTAAAAATATCAATTCTCCCCAAATCGAAATCTGAAAAAGACGATTTTTTAAAACTTGAAAAGTTAACTCAAAAGCTAATCTGAAAGAAAAATACAGGAGAATAGCTAAGAAAGTAAACTAAAAAATTAATATTATAGTGTGATCCAACTTAGGGAATATATATGTATATATATTCTATGTAACAATACCTACAAGAAAACATTCACATCATGCTGCAGCTAGATGGTCTGAATCTTTCCCAATGACCATGGAAGAGTTCATGCTGTAAGAAACAGCATCTGTAAAACTAGTTTTATATAATATACTCATCTGTATGAATTTTGAAAACATCAGGCTAAGTAAAAGCACAAAGTCACAAAAGACTACATATCCACATATTGTATAATTCTATGCATATGAAATGTCCAGAATAGGCAAATCCATAGAGACAGAAAGCAGATTAGTGGTTGGGGGTGGGGGAGGAGAGAAGGTGGATCGGGAGTGTCTTCTAATGGGTACAGGTTTCCTTTTGGGGTGATAAAAATGTCCTAGACCTAGTGGTGATGGTCACACAATCTTGTGAATGTGTTAAAAACCATGTATAACTTAACTGGCTGATTTTTATGGTATGGGAATTGTATCTCAATAAAGCGGTACAGTATAGCATGTTGCTACAGTCCCTGATCATTGTTTCCCTTGGGGACAGAACAACCCAATACTTAATACTTTAGAAATCTTACTAATGAGACCTTATGCCATCTTTTAGTGGCTTCTCTGTCTCTGTAACAACACAGGTAAAGATAAGCGAACAAAAAAGACGATGCTAATACTGCCATGATCTCAAGAGATGTCAACAAGGAATCTCCACATCACCAGCACTGGAGGAATGCTCTCGCCCTGCAGAAGCGGGCTCCGTGGAAGAGGTAGAGGCCGTGGGGAAGAGGTCTGATGTCGATGTCGATGGCTGTGGTTCCTCAAAGCACACCTGAGTGGCGGGGGATGACGGGGGGGCCTGGGGATCGGCCCCCCCCCCCGC